AGCTAGCTGCATAGCTAGCTGCATAGCTAGCTGCATAGCTAGCTGCACAGCTAGCTATGGCTAGCTGTAGCTAGCTGTAGCTAGCTGCATAGCTAGCTGCATAGCTAGCTGTAGGTAGCTGTAGCTAGCTGCATAGCTAGCTATACCACTAGTAGCTAGCACTAGCTAGCTGTTTATATATAAACTGCACAGCTAGCCACAGCATCAGCAGCTAGCTACGACAGCTGCGCACCAGCAGCAACAGCTAGCTACATATTAAGAACTACACAGCTAGCCATCAGAGTCACCGCGGCCCCAGCTAGCTACAGATGCAACCAGCCAGGATACTCAGCTAGCTAGCTAGCTAGCTAGCTAGCGAAGATACTCATCTAGCTAGCTAGCTAGCTAGCTAGAGAAGATACTCATCTAGCTAGCTAGCGAAGAAACTCAGCTAGCTAGCTAGCTAGCTAGCTAGCCAGCTAGCTAGCTAGCTAGATAGATAGCTAGCTAGCTACCCAGGATAGATACTGAGCTAGCTAGCTAGCCAACAGCAGAGTGCTGCCTGCTACGGCTGTTAAGGAGAGCTGCTGCTGCTGCTGCTGCTGCTGCTGCTGCTTTATTATTCTTATTGTAATCAATGTAGCTAGCTGCTGATGCTGTGGCTAGCTGGGCCTGCTAGCTAGCTATCTAGCTACCTAGCTAGCTAGCTAGCTAGCTAGCTAGCTAGCTAGCTACAGCTATCCCCCATGATTACTCTTCTTTCTATTACTATTTACTAGAATGCCGTCTCGGCTTCTGTCCTCTTTGTAGGCATTCTCATTTTTGCTGCTGCTGCTGCTGCTGCTGCACTAAACTATTATTTCTGCTGCTGCTGCTGCAGCAGCAGCAGCAGCAGCAAGAGCTGCAGCAAATCAACGGGGGAGGCAAATTTAAAATAGAAGTGGCAGTTAGGAGGTCGGCCTGCTTATAGCTGCGCCCCGGCAGCAGCAAAAAATCTTTGCTGCTGCTGCTGCTGCTGCTGCTGCTGCTGCTGCTGCAGCTGCAGCTGCGGCCCTTGCTGCTACTTCGGCTGCTGCTGCTGTTGCTCTCGATGCCGTTGCTGCTGCTGCTGCTGCTGCTGCTGCTGCTGCGGGTCATCAACGAGGGGGGTAAACTCCCCGCCCTGCTACGTGGACCGCTGCAGCAATCGTTGCAGCAGCAGCAGCAGCAGCAGCACTTGCTGCTGCTGCTGCTTTTGCTGCTGCTGCTTTTGCTGCTGCTGCTGCTGCTGCTGGTGTTTTGCTTCGACTAGCCGGCGGCTTTGCTTTGTTCTGCTGCTCCTTCACAGCAACCCCACCACAGTAACACCATGCGGATACAACAGGAGCGAGCAGTGTAAGCAGCAGCAGCAGCAGCAGCGACAGCAGCAGCAGCAGCAGCAGCAGGGGCAACTATGCCCCTCCTTCTACCATCCCCTTCACTACCGCTGTCTCCTCATCTGACAAAGGAGAAGCTGCTGCTGCTGCTGCTGCTACAGCAGCAGCACCAGCTGCTGCTGCAGCAGCTGCTGCAACAGCAGCCGCAGCAGCAGCAGCAGCAGCAGCTGCTGCTGCTGCAGCAGCTTACTGGCAGACCATATCTACTGCCCCTGCGTTGCCGTTGTTCATTTGAGGGGCCCTCGCGGCATCTGCTGCTCTTGGGGGCCCCCCAGCAGCAGCAGCAGCAGCTGCTGCTGCTGCTACTGCTGCTGCTGCTCCCGTGGTTGCCTGCATAACTGGGGGCAGAGGCGGGTGGGGGGGAGGCACAACTGCGCCTCCTGCTGCTGCTGCTGCTGCTGCTGCTGCTGCTGCTGCTGGTGGGCTCGATCCAACCATCGGTGATAACGAG